AAACTAACTGTAAAGTAGACGATTAATTTCACTGGCTTCTAATAGCAAGACGATCAATCGATCCGAACAAGCGCCACAGTACTCGTGAACGAGAGAGGGCATTTGATCTTGCGTGGTGTAGCGAAGCGCTGCGCGGTAGACGGCCTGGATCAATACGAGGGTCACATCGGCACACGGGAGACCTTTTTGGGTATGCGTCCTCATAAAAAACCTAAAGTGAGGGATGAGCCTAACGCCGCCCCAGTCACATGTGTTCGATGCCGCCTACGATATTCTTGGCTTTGTCTGGACACTGAGCCTAGCTGGGTGAGAGAAGAGAGTGAGCGACTGCGGTAGATGCTACGCAAGTCTGCTGTCTCCGTCAATTAATTCACGCACAGGTCATCGGTCCTTCGCTCAATATGTTGCGGGTCACACGCTGGATATGGTCGGAATGGACGTTCGAATTGCCAGAGCACGAATGTCGCAACCCCGTTTAATCCTGCGTTCCCACGTACCAAATAAATCAGAAAAACTTGGTTGTGTGATTACATCCACCCATGACAGCTGAAAGGCATAAAATACCAGGGCAGGTGTGCCCTGCGTATGATCGGTCTATACATATGTACTAAACTTGGTTTTCTTAGAGACTCTCGTATCACATCTAAAATCTAATCTCAACTGTGATAAGACCTTATGTGCAGTTAATTATAAGTCTTCCTAATCGTTAACGGTGGAGTCCTTACTGTAGTAAAATCGGAAGGATGTAGTGAACTTTTGCTACGAGCGAAAATGCTACTTCCACGAAGTCGTTAGGAAGAAGTAGATGGGATCACTGGGACAGGAGCTTCATTTTCCGGACGTCTCGCGTGCTTAATCGAACATACCTTCGACTACAGCATCAGATTACTTGTTTCGTCCGAATCGACTGCCAAAATGTCATGTTCCACGTACCTGAGGCATCGAGTTAATAGATGGTAGATAGGCGCTAAGCAATCGATTAGAGAACGCACTCGCCCCGTGATGCCTTGGAGCTCGATCTCTAGCTCCTGTTGTGGTCTAGGTAAGGGTTGTACTTAAAACACTACAGTCACCAGGCCAAATCTCAGGTTGGAAGTTATAAGGCAGAAGCCACCTGTGAGAGAGGTTTACTGCGTACAAAAATCTATGTTGCTGTCTCAGGCGCCAGTGGCCATTGGCAAAGCCAGGCATAGTGTTCACCGCGTCCATCCAGACCTGGGAGAGCTTGGGGCAGTGGTGGCAGCTGCTTCAGTAGAATTGCGGAGCAGGTTCAAGTGTTCTGTTATTGGTGTGTCGCAATTGCCCGAGAAGATATCGCCTGTAGAGGTCTTGACTGCATCGGCCGAGGGGTAGTTTATTCAAGTGGACCTTAGGCAGGTCTGCTTATTTGGACGCGGGTGTGTGCACACGTGTGTGCGTGACTGAATAAGCTAA